TATACTATAGATAGTGCGGTCCACCCACCGCTATTTGTCGGCTGTCCTTTGTATGTGATTAATGTCAAACGACCTTCGAAAAACGCTCAACTACTGCATAGCTACTCAGGCTTATTACCAACCGGTGGAAACTAACGATTTAAATTGGCTCACTACTTGACTAGCCTATTGGTCCCAAGCAAATCGATTAACGTACACCATTCTAGCATAGAGGTAACTCTAAGACTAGTTGGTCCCGAAGAAACGTGCTCAACTTTTTGGCTCAGCTCTGGTACTATCTTCGGTCCCAAGCTAATCGATTCACCCCTCGAAACATAGGAAAATCCACTAACCCCTCTATTTATGCCTTGTTGATAGTGACAAGACTTTGTCCACCGAGGATGATCTTGAAACAAGAAAAAAAAAATGAGTTAGTTAGTCTTTATCTATGTGATTCCTAATCTTCTATTCGTTGTTTCCTAGTTTGAAATGGTTAAGACTAGGGTTCTGATGCATGGTCATTATCGGTGTCATTGCTTATTTTTGTTGCTAAGGAATCCAATTTTGACTTTCAAAGGGGCGCGCCTTTGGAGGGTGTTCCAACACTCCGAAGGGTATAAATAGCGATACCTTTCAATTAGAGTCGGCTCCTAGCGATAAATGCGAGAATGACAAATGTAAAAGAATCGAATACTTCATCATTTCTCAATAGTGATGGAGTAATACCAACAATCAATACGAAACTAACGATTTTAAATTGGCTCACTACTTGACTAGCCTATTGGTCCCAAGCAAACGATTAACGTAGCCCATTCTAGTCGAAATGCTAGTACTACGCAATATTTGTTTTGATTCGCTATGAAAGTTTGACAGATAAAATGAGGGGTTATTGGTTTTTCCTATGGTTCGAGGGGTGATTCGACAAGCTTGGGACCGAAAATAGTACCAGAGGTGAGCCAAAAAGTTGAGCACGTTTCTTCGGGACCTACTTGTCTTAGAGTTATCTCTATGGTATTACCATAGAGGTAATACCATAGAGATAACTCTAATGGTGGTAAGCTCCAACCGGTATTATCCTCGGATTAAATCCCGATCAAGAATGTCCGGCTGGTTTGATGTTGACATCAGAGTTAATCAACATAACTCTGAGCAGACATTTTTCAGATCATACAAACAGGGACGGTATTAAAAGTTAATCCGAGTTGGAGCTTACCGCCATAAGACTGGAAGGTCCCGAAATAACGTGCTCAACCTAGGGGCATCCCACTCTAAACTTTGTATTTCTATCGATATACCTATAGATACCTGGGAATATTTATAAATACTTAAGAAATACTTATGAAATATCTAGCGATGGTTTGTTTGTTCGGTTGCTATAGCCTATAAACAAATTGCATTTGTTTGTTTATCCGACGTTTGGATTCAAATCTTATCTGATTTTGTGTACATTTAACATTTATTATATTGTTTTTCGATGCGTATAATTGTAAGCCGATAGGAAAAGAAACAGTGTTCAGTGTCCCATAATGAAGAGGGCCACGATGGAACAGCGGATAGAGCAAAACGCATAACAAAAGGGTGGTTAATCGTTTGCTTAGGACCAATAGGCTACTAAAGTGGTGAGCCAATTTAAAATCGTTAGTTTCGTATTGATTGTTGGTAATACGACATGCACTAAGCTAATAACACGGGATATACTACAATAGATCAAATTACTGGTCGCACACGGATTTTCCGCACAGCAGTTGGTCGTATAACTTCCGAGCCATCGGCTTGAAGGATACAGCTTGTTTTTCACTCCGCTTTGACTTCTTCTGCTCCTTATACGTCTTTAGACCCATGCTTGCCTTGGCCCGCTATACACGGAGAACAAATTATAGCAGACGTAATTATTTTTCCGGTCAAAATAACTATATTGTTCAATTGATTTAGAGATAACCCGAAACTATAGTTGATTTGACTATAAATAGAGGGCAACAACTATAGTCCATAGTTGGCTCCTCGGTTGGCTCAACTGTATTTTTAAGTAGCTGAACAAACGTTAAACTTCAAAATACAACTATGTTTTAGTTGATTCAAGAAAACTGTTGTTAGAAAAGCAAAATTTTACAATGTTTATTGAACGAAGTGCTCTTCATTATCGACATATTAAGGAAGTTTGTTTTTCTTCTTTATCGATCTCAAAAACACAACTGCAAAATCATAAAAAGTGTACTAGAATATTCAACTTAGATTTGAAGCATGTTCATCTGCGTGAGAGCCAGCTATCTTATCGCCTGCTCTACGCATCACAAGCTAAAAGTGTGTGGATTTATGATGATCACTTGAAACCAAAAATATATAAATAAATTACATTTGACGGTTGTTATAATTGATCATAGCTATTGTTGAATTGAGTATAAGATGAACAGTTGAATCTATTAGGTAGATATGATTGAGTTGCCGTTAAAACTAATGTTGAAATAACTATAGGTTTCTTTCAAACAAAAATATTTTTCCATGTGAAAGTAACTATTAGGATTGTTGTCTTAACTTAACGAATTTGTTCTCCGTGTACGTTACTCTTTGAGGATCCTACTTTTTTAGCCACGTCTCGAACCGTAGCTCTTTTCTTGCGAGTGAAAGCTTGCACGATTTTCCGGTCCAGATTCGATTTTCTGATCAACAGGGTTCGGTTTACGTCCAGATTTTTGCTAGTCCTGGAAAGTTGCTTCATCACCATACTTTCGAATCGCGTTTCGAACGGCTCCGATGTTTACACCTTCCAATTTCGCTAATTGGGTTCTTTAAAGGTATTGAGGTAAATGCATATTCGTAATCTGCATTAAAAATGGAACCCAAACCCAAAATTTCATCATTTTTGGTACACTGGAACTATTTTAAATAAGTACGATTACATTTGAAAAAATCACCTTATTAGCGTCCCTCGGTGTCAGTTTGTATGGGAGCGAGGTGTCATTGTGTCAGTTTAGTGTCAAACAGTGCACACACTTAAATTTTTTCGCCGAGATTCCAACAGCCGATCAGTTCTGCAATTTATTTTGCTGAGATTCAGTAAAACAATTGCCGAGACTCAGCTAACAAATATCATTTTGCTGAGATATCAGCTAACAAACAGATATTTTGCAGATATATCAGCAAAAGTAAATGCCGAAGAAATCGGCTGTTGGAGATTTTACCGAGCTAAATTAAGTGTGCAGTTATTATTTTACTTTAAATCTTGATTTAAAAATCGAGATGAAAGTGTGTGGGTTCGAAAAAAATATCGCTCTGCTCAGAAAACGAAGCTCTTTCAGATGATATATTATAAAATATATATTTTTCAAAATTAAAGAACCCAATTGACTCAGATAAATGTTGGGGATAGTGCACCATTTGTGCACGATCTGTTTGCACTTTTCCGAAGAAATGCTTCCCATTGTCACGGAAATGTAAAGAACCGACACTTGTTTTTCTGAAGTATGGCCAAAATATGAAGCTATGGCCAATACTGGTGCATTTACCCTGCATAATTGAACTCTAAAATCAAAAAAGCTCTAATTCAAAATTAAAATTTTTAAAATAAGTAGAAATTTAATATCCTGGAATGAAGAAGATTCATTTTTAAATTCAAAGTTCAGTTCCATATAGAGCAGAGCACTACTTCGGCATCATATCGAGAAGAAACGTCAAATATATCAATGATTTTGATGTTAACGTAAACAAAAGAAGGGCTCCTAGCGAACACATTTTTTGCTGCCTTCATTGCCATTAATCTGCCGAATTTTCAATGTGTTGTGACGGACAGCGGTCTGTTTTATTTTTTTTTATTTTCAACCAGCAAAAAGCATGTATTAGTGAAACTGATCACTAATCTAACGGTGGTAGAGAACTCTATAGTTCATCCTGCTGTGTGTAGGTAACCCTGTCGCACCGGGGTGCTGGTTTCTCGTATAGATACTATAGATTCCATAGATAAGCGGAGGAAAAGTATAATGTAGCCAAACGAACTGTCAGTTACAAACGAGCATGACGTCATCATGGTGTTGTTTGAGGGAGAAGTATTGTAATATTATGAACACAAAACGCTCTCCACACTCCACATTCCGATTTATTTCGCGGACAACGGAAGAAGGAAAGATAAAGCAAACCATTCTTCGATTAATTGTTGCAAAGATTTGCTTTGCACTTCATTTTGATTTTTTACGCACGAAACAAAACAAAAGTGCACAACGAAGAGCTCTATGATGGCATGAACTTTTTTCACGGATGCCAGTAAGATCTTTAAATTTTATTTTTCATCGTTGCCAAAACAACTTTTTGTGCCTCCGCTTATCTATGGAATCTATAGTATCTAAAGTTTCTTGTCGTTCAGATCATGGGCTATTAACGGGCTTGGTGGTAACTTTGGTAATCTGTTTCCCGCTTGTTTGCACTTTTTCAATTTAGATGGTGCAGTAATGTGTGGAATAGACAGACTAGGATACCTACCTCGTTCTCTACTTACCTTGGTCAGCGTAAAATACTGGATAACATCCGGAGAACAGCAAGACGGTGGCGGTGGTATAATAGTAAGCGTGACTGCTTTTTCACCCCAGTGTGTTTGGGTTCAATCCCAGTCGAGATGGTTGACATTTTTATAAGGCGAATAAATCTCTGGTTACGTCTTCCGACGGGAAGTAAAGCCACTGGTCCTGGACCATGTGTTGATGGGTGCGATATCTAACCAGGTGTGGATAAGAAGAAGGAGAACAGCAAAGCAGTAATTTAAGACTAATTTTGTTCCCGTTAATCATAAACATCCTGTTGAACCTACATCTGAAAGGCAGACTTCAATTTCTTGCTGAGAAGTTCAACAATTTAATTACCATTTTAACTGTTTCAGAAAACAGTCAGGCCTTCTTGCAGAGCGATAACAAAACAAAACAATTTTTTTTACAATAAATTACATTTATTTTACCATATTTACTTACTAACTACTGGACATTGTTTCCGAACCTAACACAGTATTCGCAAATAGTTCATGCACAGTGCCACTGTACGTTTAGGGGCATCTTTCTCGAAAACAATGAAATCATCTCTCTTTTGCTCGACGTCAACCGGAGCAAGAGAGGCTCGTTTGCAAGAAAAGATTATGGCCACCGTTACTGTTGTTGATCACTGCTCAGTGCGCAGCTGTCAAGTCACGTCAAGACAAATGTGTCACGAACTGGATGCGAATAGTGGTTGCACAAATTTGAATCCTATGAAAACATTCTAGATGCTATTTTCACTCCTTCACTAGCAGATATTTACATTTGTAATAAATACCTATACGGGGGGTTAGATTGACTTACTTTCTCGTTCTGGAATTGTCTTGGATCTTGGATATATGGCTTTCAAGTGGCGTTTCATAAAAATATGACATCTTTCTGACTAGAACTAGATAGATGTCGCAATTGTCACTTAAATCTCTCTTGTACTAAGCTCGTGTCTTTTGGGATTAGTAATTTTCGATGTGGAAATATTGATCAGCGGATAATTGTTACTTTATCAGTCCTGTTGGTGGCAGCTTTTCTGTAGTAACAGGATAGTTAGTGGAATATTTCTAAAATCACTACAACTAACTTATCAAACTAAGCGTGCGTCTCGTCTCGTTGTCGTCTGAAAGGTCGTTGACTAATCGGTTTCGTTCTGCACACATCAGAGTATTTCCGAAGAGAAGCTCAGAACAAACTTCTTCGCCGGTTGCCAATGTTGATCCATTCGACCGGCAGTTCGGACCGCTCCTGCATAGGTGCGTTCTGACATTCGGGTATTTTCGCTACCCGTTCGCAGCGGCGGCTTACGCCCCAGTAGACGTAGCCCTTCGGGCAGCGGTACATGTTCGGCTGAAGGCTGCCATCGCTTCGGCCTTCACCAGCTAAGCAGCGTACGAATGTCGAGCTGCACTTCTGGTCATCTAACGCGAAATGACCCTCTGCTGGGCAGAGTGGTTTCGTTGAGCGTAGTTGCATCTGCAATAGACGTAAAGTTGGTGGTTAGTGGAAAATTGATTGGAAATATGCACGACAGATAGATCTTACGACTTGAACCTGTGGTCCAATGGCACTGCGCAGGAATCGCATGCTTGGCGATTGGCACTGCTCATCTCCAGGGGCTGGTTCGTTGCACTGAATTCCTTCTTCGTGGTAGACTGTTGAGTTCGGACAGCTGAATACCGTTATGCTGTAATCCATGCTGTTCGGTTTCTGCGTACACTGGTAGAACATGCTACAATCCTGGGGATGTCGACGGAAACCAGTTGGGCAGACGAACAGAGCTTGACCGTCACCAACTGGAGGGCAGTCTCCTGAACCGGAAGATGGCGGCTTCTGGGTACCTTGGGTAGTTGTTTCCATACCAGATGGTTCAGTAGCTGGTTCGGTTTGGGATTCTGTTACCATAGCTGAGGTTGTAGTTTCCTGACTTGGTTGAGTAGTTCCTTCTGAAGGCTGTGAGGTTGTTTCCTGTGCTGGATCAGTGACAGCTTGGGCGGTGGTTTCTTGTCCAGCTTCAGTCGTTTGAGCAGTAGTTTCCACTGCAGGCTGTGTGGTGGTCTCAGCAGTTGGTTGAGTTGTTCCTTCGGTTGATTCTTGAGTCGTCATTGACTCATCCGTGGTAGTCATCTGTGACCCTTGTGTAGTTGTATCCGGTTGCATCGTGGTTTCCTGACCGGCCATCGTGGTTGTCTCCCCACTTGCCTGTGTCGTTGTTTCCTGACCTGCCTGTGTCGTTGTTTCCTGACCTGCCTGTGTGGTAGTTTCCTGACCAGTCTGTGCAGGTGTCGTTTCCTGTCCAGCGGTAGTCGTATCCTCTCCAGCGGTAGTCGTTTCCTGTCCAGCAGTAGTCGTTTCTTGTCCAGCGGTAGTCATTTCCTGACCAGCGGTAGTCGTTTCCATTTGTGGAGCATTCGTTGTGGTGGCACTTGGCTCGCCTGTAACAGAAGAGGTTGTAGATTCCGTGCTTGTCACAGTCATGGATTCTGTGCTTGAAGGCGATCCAGATGACGTTGTCGTTCGACCGGAGCAATCTCTCGGAGGTGAGACACTGTCCTCATGGTTGCAAGTATTTACACTGGGATCCCAAATTGTACCTTCCGGGCAGTCGAAGTGGAACACGGAGAAGTTTTCGCCCTTTCCGTCCCAATCGACGCACCGATAGAACTTGGTACAATCGTCGGGATTCGGAAAAAATCCAGCCTCGGTACAGTTTACCGGAGTAGGAGATGATGTTGATGATGATGATGAAGGCATGCTTGTGGTGGGCACGTTAGACATGCTGGATGTTGATGAATTTGACATGCTTGACGAGGAAGTGGTAGTGCTCATGCTAGGAGAAGAGGAGGTCATGCTGGTGGTGGGGGGAGTGTTAGTAGTGGTGGTGGAGGAGGTTGTGGAAGAAGGAGCCGATGATGTGTTAGTTGATGAGGGTGATGTTGTGGTAGAAGTTGAGGAAGATTGATTGTTGTTACCTGTAGATTGACCACCGCACATTTCAACTACATTATCGTGGTTGCACGTCTGGAGACTCTGATCCCAAGCCGTTCCATCGCCGCAAGTGAAATCATACTTGGTGTAGCCACCTTTGCCGTTATCGACGCAGCGGTAGAACTTCTTACAGTTGTTTGGATCACCCATGAAGCCTTCTGATGTGCACTCTCCGGTGGATGGTTGACTGGTAGTCATTTCTTGCCCAGAGGTGGTGCTTTCAGCAGGTTTAGTAGATGTTTCCTGTTTTTCTTCAGAGGTCGTATTCTCCACAGCTCCATCAGTTGTAATCTGAGTTTCCGAAGTTGTCGTTTCCTGAGGTGAGTTCGTCGTAGTCATTGATTCCACAGGTGTAGTTTGGCTGGCAGTGGTGGTTTCTTGAACCACTGCTGTCGTTGTTTCCTGAGCTGCTGCGGTAGTCGTTTCTTGGGTTCCTTCGGTAGTCGTTTCTTGAATTGCTGTGGTAGTCGTTTCTAGAGCCACGGCTGTGGTGGTTTCCTGAGTAGCCGTGGTAGTCATTTCTTGAGCTGCTGCTGTGGTCGTAGTCTCCTGTGCTGCAGATGTTGTTGTTTCCTGAGCTGAGCCAGTACTTGTTTCTTGGGCTGAAGTAGTACTATCTGTTTGGGCAGTTTCAGTTTGAGTCAGTGTAGTTGTTTCGCTGGCTGAAGTGGTAGATTCTTGAATCGCCGTAGTGCTTTCCTGTGCTGCTTCAGTAGTGCTAGATTCTTGTGCTTGCGTAGTACTTTCCGCTGCCGATGTAGTGGTTGTCATTTGATTTTCCGATCCAGGAGGTGACTGAGTGCTCTGGGCGTCTGGTTCAGGAGTAGGCTCCGGTGGGCGATCAGCTCCGCAGTTTGGCACTTCATATTCGTAGTTACAAGCTTGGATGCTCTGATCCCATGCCGTTCCATCAGCGCAAGAGAATTCGTATTTGTTGAAGCCACCCTTACCGTTGTCTACGCATCGATAGAATTTTTTACAATCGCTATCATGTTTCATAAATCCTTCGGAGTTACAACCTTCCGGAGAAAGAGTTGTGGCTGATTGAGTTTCTGTAGTTTGTTCAGTTGTTTCGGATGTTGTGGTTTCTCCAGGTTGAGTAGTACTTGCTCCAGATTGGGTGGTTTCTGCTTGTCCGGTTGTCGATTCTTCTGGCGCTGTAGAAGTTGTTTCCTGGCTGGAAGCGGTTGTTTCTTGACTAGAGACAGTGGTGGTCTGCTCAACCAAAGCGGATGTAGTTTCTTGCGCTGATGCGGTGGTTTCCTCCTTTGGAGCTTCGGTAGTTTCCTGGCCTGCAGCACTTGTGGCTTCTTGTCCAGAGCTAGTCGTGGATTCCGCAGCTGAAGTAGCTCCTTCAGTCACCATTTGTTGGGTTTCGCTGGTACTATCTACGCTACCAGCAGTTGTTGAACCTTCAGTGGACATTTCTGATGACGACGACATAGCTTCAGTAGTGCTAGATGAATCTGGTGGTAGATAGGTATTACCTGGCCCAGAAGGACTTCCTCCCTCAGGACGTCCACCAGTTCCTGAGCCACACTTAGAGTTTTGAACGGAGTCAGGGTGGTTGCAGGCCAAAATATCATTGTCCCAAACAGTGCCAGCACCGCAACTGAACTCATACCGAGTGTAACCACCATTTCCATTATCAACGCAGCGGTAGAATTTTTTGCAGTTAGATTCGTGTTCCATAAATCCTTCTCGTTCGCAGACTCCGTTTGATCCAGCAGGTACGGCTGGTGCACTAGTTGTTGAAGGCTGTTGACACGGTGGGATGGTTGACTGTGTCTGGTTCGATTGCGAACCTGATCCATCTGGGCCATTGGGTCCGTTAGGGCTACTTGGTCCATTGGGTCCATTTGGACCGCTAGGACCTTGATTGTTGTTATCGGGTCCATTTGGACCTTGTCCTTCGCCGTTGGGGCCGTTTGGTCCCTGATTTCCACTATCCGGACCAGCTGGACCTTGTCCTTCGCCGTTGGGACCATTTGGACCATCGGGGCCATTGGGACCATCCGGACCATTAGGTCCATTTGGACCATTGGGGCCATTGGATCCATTTGGACCACCTGGACCATCTCCTCCATTAGGGCCATTTGGACCATTTGGACCTTGGTTGTTGTTGTTGGGCCCATTTGGACCTTGGTTGTTGTTGTTGGGACCATTTGAACCTTGATTGTTGTTGTTGGGTCCATTTGGGCCTTGGTTGTTGTTGTTTGAACCGTTTGGACCTTGATTGTTATTGCTGGGACCACTTGAGCCCTGGTTGTTATTGTTGGAACCACTAGGACCATCAGGTCCGCTGGGACCATCTGGACCGTTTGGACCATTTGGACCATTTGGACCATTTGGACCATTAGGACTATTAGGACCATTTGGACCATTTGGACCATTGGGACCATTTGGACCATTTGGACCATTTGGACCATTTGGACCATTAGGACCTTGATTGTTGTTGTTTGGACCATTTGGACCTTGGTTGTTGTTGTTGGGACCATTTGGACCTTGGTTGTTGTTGTTAGGGCCATTTGGACCTTGGTTGTTGTTGTTGGGACCATTTGGACCTTGGTTGTTGTTGTTGGGACCATTTGGGCCTTGATTGTTGTTGTTGGGACCATTTGGACCTTGGTTATTGTTGTTGGGACCATTTGGACCTTGGTTGTTGTTGTTGGGACCATTTGGACCTTGGTTGTTGTTGTTGGGACCATTTGGGCCTTGATTGTTGTTGTTGGGACCATTTGGACCTTGGTTGTTGTTGTTGGGACCATTTGGACCTTGGTTGTTGTTGTTGGGACCATTTGGACCTTGGTTGTTATTGCTCGGACCGCTTGAACCTTGATTGTTATTGCTTGGTCCTTGGGATCCTCCACTTCCTGATCCTTGTGACATTCCTTGGCCGCATCGCGAATTTTCAACAGCCCATGCATGGTTACAATTCTGGATACTATCATCCCAAACCGTATTATCACTACACTTGAAGTCGTATTTGGTATATCCTCCCTGTCCATTGGATACGCATCGGTAGAACTTCTGACAGTCGTTAGGATCACCCATGAAGCCATCACCGGTACAAGCAGGTGAGCTGCCGGACGAGGAAGAAGCTGGTGCGGTGGTAGTTTGTGAGCTTGACGAAACTGTGGTAGTAGTGGTAGCAGCTGTCGTACTTGAGGTAGCTTGAACTTCGTTGAGATCTGGATTCGTGCTGTCTTCAGTTGACTCTGGTTGAGATGGAGCAACCGTACTGGAAGATGCAGCTGTAGGAGACAGAGTGGTAGATTCAGTCGATGTTGTTGAGGTTGAAATGGCTTGAGTAACCATAGTGGCCTGTGTAGTCGTTGTGGTTGTTTGTGTTGATGTAGTGGTTGTTTCCACGTTGGATGGTGCTTGAGTGGACGAAGGCTCCGAGGTAGCCTCCTGTGTTGTTGTTGGTGATGGTGGTGGTGTTTGTGTAGATGAAGCTTCTGTTGTAGTGTCCTGAGTGATGGGAGCTTGTGTTGTGGAAGCTTCTGTTGAATGAGCTTGTGTAGTCGTGTAATGTGTGATAGGAGCTTCCGTTGTAGGACTTTGTGAAGTCGTAACTTGTGTAGAAGAAGCATGTGATGTTGGAGCTTGTGTTGATGGAGCGTGTGTTGTGGGTGCTTCCGTTGAGGGAGCTTGTGTGGTTGTGTCTTGTGTAGATGTGGCTTGTGTTGTTGGAACCCCCGTAGTCGGAACTTGTGTTGTTGGTGCTTGAGTCGTTGGTGCTTGTGTTGTTGATGCTTGTGTTGTTTGCGCTTGTGTTGTTTGTGCTTGTGTTGTTGGCGCTTGTGTTGTTGGTGGTGCTAATGTTGTTGGTGCTTGTGTTGTTTGCGCTTGCGTTGTTTGTGCTTGTGTTGTTTGTGCTTGTGTTGTTGGTGCTAGTGTTGTTGGCGCTTGTGTTGTTTGCGCTTGTGTTGTTTGTGCTTGTGTTGTTGGTGCTAGTGTTGTTGGTGCTTGTGTTGTTTGTGTTTGTGTTGTTGGTGCTTGTGTTGTTGGTGCTTGAGTTGTTGGTGCTTGTGTTGTTTGCGCTTGTGTTGTCGAAAATTGCATCGATGAAGCTTGTGTAGTAGGAGCTTGTGTTGATGAGCTTTGCGATGTTGAAGCTTCAATCGTTGGAGCTTGTGTTGTTGGTCCTTGTGTGATTGGGGCTACTGTAGCAGGAGCTTGTGTAGATGGTACTTGTGTTGTTTGAGATTGTGTTGTGGGAGTTTCAGTTGTTTGTGTTTGGGTTGTAGTGGATTGTGTAGATGAGGTTTGTGTATTTGTTGAAGTTTGAGAGTTGTTGTTGTTGGTTTGCTGATTATTTGTTTGTCCGTTATTATTATTGTTGGATTGTTGATTGTTTGTTTGTTGATTATTTGTTTGTTGATTGTTATTGCTGTTAGATTGGGAGCTATTTTGGTTGCTATTGTTATTATTACTAGTTTGTTGATTGTTGCTTGATCCTTGATTGCTTTGATTACTGTTATTAGATTGATTGCTGCTGGATCCTTGATTGCTTTGATTACTGTTACTAGATTGATTATTGCTAGATCCTTGATTGCTTTGATTGCTGTTATTAGATTGGTTGATGCTAGATCCTTGATTGCTTTGATTGTTGTTATTAGATTGATTGGAACTACTAGATTGTTGTTGTGAACTGCTTTGGCCACTTTGAGAGGCTTGATTATTATTGTTTGACTGACTGTTTTGATTGCTCTGGCTCTGATTGCTGCTACTCGATTGGTTGCTTTGATTGTTCTGGTTATTTTGGCTGTTATTATTCGATTGGTTGCTGCTGCTCCATTGATTGTTTTGGTTGTTTTGATTATTTTGATTTTGATTATTATTAGACCACTGATTTTGATTGTTTTGACCTTGATTATTCGTTTGTTCGTTATTATTATTATTATTGTTGGACTGTTGATTGCTTGTTTGTTGATTATTATTGTTGTTTGACTGGGAGTTATTTTGGTTGCTATTGTTATTATTGCTAGTTTGTTGATTGTTGCTGGATCCTTGATTGCTTTGATTACTGTTATTAGATTGATTGTTGGTAGATCCTTGATTACTTTGATTGTTGCTACTTGATTGGCTGCTACTGCTGGATTGTTGTTGTGAACTGCTTTGGCCACTTTGAGAGGCTTGATTATTATTGTTTGATTGACTGTTGTGATTGCTCTGGCTCTGATTGTTGCTACCCGATTGGTTGCTTTGATTGTTCTGGTTATTTTGGCTGTTATTATTCGATTGATTACTGCTGCTCCATTGATTGTTTTGATTGTTTTGATTATTTTGATTATTTTGATTATTATTCCATTGGTTGTTTTGATTATTTTGACCATTTTGATTGCTACTACCTTGATTGTTTTGGTTGTTTTGATTATTATTAGACCACTGATTTTGATTATTTTGATTTTGATTATTATTGGACCACTGATTTTGATTGTTTTGCCCTTGATTATTTTGATTATTGTTGTTCCACTGGTTGTTTTGGTTATTTTGATTATTTTGATTGTTTTGCCCTTGACTATTTTGATTATTGTTGCTCCACTGATTGTTTTGATTATTTTGATTATTCTGATTTTGATTATTATTGGACCACTGATTTTGATTGTTTTGACCTTGGTTATTTTGATTGCTGCTGCTCCATTGATTGTTTTGATTATTTTGATTTTGATTATTATTGGACCATTGATTTTGGTTGCTTTGACCTTGATTATTTTGATTGCTACTGCTCCATTGATTGTTTTGATTATTTTGATTATTATTGGACCATTGATTTTGATTGTTTTGACCTTGATTATTTTGATTATTGTTGTTTTGATTACTATTGCTCCATTGATTGTTTTGGTTGTTTTGATTATTTTGATTATTATTAGACCACTGGTTTTGATTGTTTTGACCTTGGTTATTATTGTTCCATTGGTTGTTAGACGACTGCTGCTGATTGGACCATTGATTCTGACCTTGGTTGTTGTTGTTGTTGTTGTTGTTGTTGTTGTTGTTGTTGTTGTTGTTGTTGTTGTTGTTACTGCTGCTTGAACCTTGATTCTGGTTGTTCGATTGATTATTGTTGCTTGAACCTCCGCTGCCAGACGATGAGCTTGTCGTTGAAGAACTGCTCGAGCTGCTACTACTGCTGCTGCTACTATTGCTAGCGCTGGAACTACTCGAAGAAGATGATCCTTGTCCATCGCTGGTCGAGGAAGTCATGTTCTGATAGTTGTTTATGTTGCTATTGCTGCTGCTTGCCGAAGACGTCATATTAGTTGTTGCTCCATTTGCCGACATTGAACTGTTGTTTTCGGTCATATTATGCTCCTGAGAAGCATTCGATTGGCTGAAGCTTTCCGAATTCGTTACGTAGTCATTTGCGGTTTTCGGTTGGCACCGTTCGACAGCGTTGGCGTGGTTGCACGAGTTAATCTGGTCATCCCAGACCGTTCCGTCACCGCAACGGAAGGGATATTTAGTGAAACCTCCCTGACCGTTCGATACGCACCGGTAGAACATCTGGCAGTCATCGGTATCTCCAATAAAACCATCGTCGGTACATGGCGAGTTATCTGCCATAGCAGCAGGATGCTCACTGGACGGAGCTTCCGAATTGTCGGTACCATTATCGCTGCCTTCGCTTCCGGAGCTGAGATCATTTTCATTTTCGGAATTTGAGGCCTGCTCTGATCCCGATGGTTGCTGTTGTTCAGGTTGCTGTGGTTCAGGTTGCTGTTGTTCTGGTTGTTTTGGTTCTGGTTGTTGTGGTTCAGGTTGCTGTGGTTCTGGTTGTTGAGGCTCTGGATGCTGTGATTCCGGTTGCTGTGGGGATTGTGACTCAGCAGGGCTGCCATTATTAATAGATTCTTCGTTCATAGGCCCATCGAGCTCGTTGTTTCCGCCGCCACATTCCGGTCGTTCAGAGTCGCTCGGATGGACGCAGATGTTTTCAACTTCGGAGAATACGGTTCCCGGTCCACAACGGAATGTGTACGCTGTTAGTTTGTCATCTTCCTGTACGCATCGGTAGAAAGCACTGCAATCATTGGGATCAGCTGCAAATCCTTCCTCTTGGCACTTGAATCGGGCAGTGGCGCCTGTGGAGTAGACAGAAACAAAAGGGAAAAGGTGTTGAATACGGATGCCAAACAAAACAGCCAGAGTGTGAAATTTTTCTATCATCATCCTTATTTTTGGGGAAGGGAACGAGGATGGACATTTCAATCGGGAGCAATTTAGCAGCAGCTTCAAGATAAAATTAAATAATGTGAGATACGCTTCGGAGAGTAAATTAAAATAATTTACCTTGCTCGAAGCTTCTCCACACAACACATTCCAGGTCAGGTGAGAAGAAGGACGGTGACGACGCTTCCTGTTTATCCTGATGGCTGTGAAACGAAGCACAAGCAGGAAGAATCACCCGTTCACTGTTATAGATATATACATAGGTAGGTGTATGGTTTTAGAACCACATGAACAAAGGTGCATGGACACAACGAAAACGGGATGATGTAATCTTTGGTGGTGGTATTTTGACAAAGGTATTCCCTTCCGTGCAGGATCCGTAAGCTTTTTTCCGGTGTAATGAGTTTTTGGTTCTTTCCTACAAAGGGGACAGGGCAGCACCAGGAGCACCACACCAAATAGGAAATAGTTGTTGTTGTTCAAGGGTAACGAGCGAGAGGTGCCAGTCAATGGTTAAAGCCAGAGTGCAACGGCTGTGGTAAACGATGAAATTTAATTAGATTTTTTTTTTCGATCGTTTTTGTATTTCGACACCATTTTCCAAACGTATTGTGCTCAAGTTTCTTTGCAATAGGAAAGTTGTCAACTTTACGCTTGAAAGTAGGCTATGGCTTTTTAGGGGTGAAAGTTGCTAGGAAATCTAGGTTGGTATTTGCAGCAGTGTTAAGACAACACGTGACATTTTAGTATTTAGTAATTCGAAATAAAAAGAACGTGACATGTTCTTTCAAGTATTGTGAATCGGGTTGAATATCATAGCGTCACTAATGACGTCGGAAGTTCGTAGTCCGACTACACGCTAATTTGAAAGTACCCATTAATGGTTGAAAAAGACCCATTTTGAAGAAAAGTGGCTTAACTCATTAAATGAGTAAATTATTTACCCATTAATGAGTATCTGTTACCCATTAATGAGTAATTGTTAATCATTAATGGGTAACAGATACTCATTAATGGGTAAAATTGTTTAATCATTAATGAGTTAAGCCACTTTTCTTCAAAATGGGTCTTTTTTACTCATTAATGAGTACTTTCAAGTTAGCGTGTAGCGCGCTTCGGTTTAGTGCTGGCGCCAGTATAATAAGTAGTGAGTAGGGATGCCAGGTTTACATTGAAAAAAATCTGGCAAATCCCAATAAAAAGTTTGGTTAAAATCTGAAACATAGGGAATCTTCCAGATTTCTCAAAAAATGTGTCTGGCTGAGCCTGGGAGGGGGGGGGGGGGTTACGTACTATCAAATCAGCCTACTGATCATTCTTGTATGAAACTGGTTCCAAACGTAAACAAACGGTGTAGGTTTCTTATGGCTTGTTTACGTTTGGAACCAGTTATCTCAGTTATGCGAGGTAGGCGACGATTGTTCGTATTTGACAGCCACCTCCCCCCCTTGGGCTGAGCTAACATTTCTCGGGCAACCTTACAACGCTACTAGTGAGGCTCTATAATAAGAGAGGGGTGGATGGTTGATTTTGAGCCAAACTGAACTGTCAAGCTCAGAGCTAATAGGAAAGCGCCTATCTTGTTCAATGTGTGTTAGTGAAATGTGCAAATGTGCTTAGTGGTATTCGTATTTCATTGCAATCTTTATCTTTTGTTATTGTCATGTTTTCACAGGCAGTGTTCCTAGAAACCACGCAGGCATAAGTTGCCACCACAGTTTGATTTAAATTCGTTTCTTATTCTAGACCCTCATTAATAATTACCATTATTTGCGGGCAAATCAAAGCCAATAAATCTTGAGACGTAAGAAAAGAAACTACTTTAATTGAGTTCCTACCATTTATTCGACAGCTTCACGGGGCAATAAATCATGATATGCGCCGATCAATGTTATTGCTATACAGATGGATGGAAGGGAGCCCCAAGAGCAAGTTGGTTGAGAAATTAAACGACGATTGCACGCAGCACAGAGAGGTGCCGACATCACGAACTTTGTTGAGTTGTTGAGTGCAATCGGAATTCACACAAACAAACATACACTTTTCCTTTGAGTTGGTTTCGATTTTCCTACAAAGAATGTTCATAATGGAACTTTGAAGGATGAGAATCATGCTGGCTGCTGCTGAATGCGCTGGGTGCCTCATTCGGGACAGTTCCGTTCTTTTGAAAGATGAAGAATGAGTGGGTGGTGAAATCAATTTGTACTGAAGGATGTTCGAATCCAATCACTGTCCGGAGCAAAAGTATTTCGATTTGTTTTTATTTGATTTCGAATATGAGAGATGAATGCTGGAAGTTAATTATTGTACATGCAACGTTTTGTGGAGGTAACTGAAAACTTAGCTTCAGTTTTCAGGGACCACTTTACAAGCACACTTGAAAATAACTAATTTTAACATGACGGAATCCATATTTGACATAAAGGATCAGACGTAAACAAACATGTAATATTAAGTGCTCTAAGACTGAAAAGTTCGTTGCTCGACGAAAAGAACGTTTGATTGAGCTATATTTCACGTCTGTTATGACTCAAATTTTTGGTCAGCTTGTGAAATTTAGTGTCTCTTAAATTATGTAAGTGAATGCGCATCTCCATAGAATAAAGCTCTTGGACAGCAACATCTGTCGGTGTGGGAACAGTTACGATGATATCGATCACGCAGTTTTTCAATGTACAAATAATGACGCCGCCAGAGAGTGACTTTTAAATACATTCAAGGCCCAACGAAGGCAACCCTATATCGCTTTCTGAGACGTGTTGGTAACCAGCGATCTCTGCTATATGCAGTCAATTTATGTGTTTCTGAAAATGTCTAGTAAAAGAATTTATATCCTTTGTCTTTATTAGTTTTTGTTTGTTTTGTCCCCCGTCTCGATGAGTCTCACCGTCGCACACTGGTCACCATAGCCGGTCAAGCTCCAGACGAATCTTGAACCGCTCTGAGGAGACAACGAAACCCCATCCCCAAGCTTCTTCCCTGATCCTATCCTTCATAAATGTACCCTTGTAACCTCGGGTAGGCCGCCATTACTCGGCCCAACTCCTACTAGATAGAGAAATAAGAGAATTTTGTTACAAACAATGGACAATGAATTATCGGCTCCGTAAAGCTAACGCAATTGAGCCTTCCAAATAAACGAACTTGATAAAAGAAAATCATAGTCCGACAAAATCACTGATATAATGATTTATTACAGCCGCTAATTTGCTTTCTCGCAAGAAGTCATTTCAAGTTTATGCAGAAGTCCTCGGTTTTGACAAAGGAAAGGGAATATTTCGAAAACCGTGATGCGAGCTCCACTGTTTTTCTCTAGACGTGACTCTTATACACATACTCTAGTACCAATGAGCGCTCGATTTAATGTATCGTTCTTCTTGAGCTGTTACAGTCCAAAAAGCGAAAAAAATAAACAAATTTTAAATTCTACCTCCTAGAATTCCATGAACTTCGCATAATCACTAGGGGCAATGAACCAAATTTGTGCTGGAATTCGGCCATTATGACTGTCGCCTAATTTTCAACATGGAGTATTCGATATTTTCCAATAAATCATAGCACGAAAACTGCTCATCTAATCGAAATGATGTCTGAGACAAAGTTGTACATGAAACTGGAATTGCTTTTTCAGAAAAAAAGTACAATGATGAAAAAACTGTTAAAACCTTCAATAAAAAAAAAGAATGTTTTTTAAACTTATGTTTATTTGAAAGCTTATAAAACATGATAACTTTTCTGACATGGAAGCAACCGACACTCAAAATTGACCAAAATCGAACAACCACTATTTGTTTTTGTTATCAATTGATTTCGGAGCCGATAACTTTCTGATATGATTAATCGACTGATTTCAGGACAACACTGCATCGTGCACTTATGTCATAGTATCCTGGATACTTAGCCACTAATAAACCAATGTTGCCTGATGAGCTGTTGATGGAGCATGTCAGAAGAGTATCAACTCACTATTTAATTCATAATTAATTATCCTAACGATCAAATAGTCTTCAGCAAAGTTGTAGCTGAGAAAATTTTCCATCCGTTCATAATGCAACTTTATTCGTAAATCATTACGAAGAAAAGTTCGGCGAGGTGAACAAGTTCACTTTTACCATAGGAATTGTGGGATAGCGAGAATGCGGTGTCCTATCCCACATCAAACGGCCACGTGGCCAACAGCTCATCTTCTAAAAGTTCTTGAAAACACAGTCGTAGATATCGCAAGGGTATTGTTGGAAAATGAACAGGAAAGCAAAGCGCCGCAATCGAATGACCCAAACTGGGGATACCTTGTTGGCGATCCGGTTGGGAATGGAGATTCTCAACCTGGAGGCCAAAGTATCAGGTTGGATCAACTGCGCCCGTTCCCAAAGGACGTACCTTCAAATCGATTGTGGGAGGAAAAGAAGAAGTTCGTGGAGAATTTTGAAATCGCTGCATCATTGCATCAGATCAGAGAACCGGATAAGCTGGCGAAAGCTTTATTCCTCGCCGTTGGAGAAGACCTGCAGGGAATCATCAAGGCAGCTAGGCTGCGCCCGAACCTCGAGGGTCCCGAGTGCTACACTACTTTCGTCGGAAATGTTGATCGGCACCTGCATCGACACCTGCATGAGTCATGGCCATGCGCTAAGAAAACGGTGAGTCGGCCGTTGCCTACCATGCTCGACTAGTGGATCGAGCTTGGCTGTGCGATTATGGTCGTGGCGAGGAAGACCGATCGCAACTAATTAAAGGTCTGCGGGACAAAGACATAGCGAAGGCAGCTCGTGTATTCAACTATGACACTAACTTCATAGTTCAGGCGGCAAATCGGAGCGAGGCATACGAGCCTGTTGCAGGTTCGTCAACTGACCAAGCCGTCTTAGCGGTAGGTCACGGAATTCGTCCTAATTCCGGAGCACGTAAAAGA